TAAAATATGTACACATAAATAATTTTTAAGAGGACTAGTGTAGTGGACTACCCAATAAGTGTAGAGAACTGCAAGCTACAAGGGTCTTTTAATTTTGAGCAGCCTGCTAGCTAGCTGTTGCCATTCTGTCCTCTAGTAAGAATCAAAGAAGTTGTTATGTTATTATTTTTATTCTCCTTTGCTGAAAAGAATCAAAAGTTAATGCTTTTCTTACTTTTTTCCTTTAGCCTACACTTCTCTTTCCCCTCTTTTCACCTTCCCCATTTGCTCACTATTTTCATTTTCATTTGTACTTTATAATTTGATAAACTTAATAAAATTACATTGTAAATAAAAAAGAATCAGAGAAGAGAAAGAACTTGAGAAGGAGATACGTTGGTGTACCCTTGTTCTCAGTGAATTTTAGTGGAACTCCCTGTGAGAAACAAGGATTCTGGAAAACAGATTTCATGTGACAGGACCTAATAATAATTTATCTAAAAAGCTTTGAGGCAACTAGAAACAATAAAGTGAAGTTGGCACGGTACATTTAGTTAGTCACGCAAGGAATTATTTATTTCTTTTAAGTTCTGCTTGCTCAATTTACAGTAGTTTTACATCTGCCCCAATTAGCTTGTTTGTTTTCTCCAACTGTTTACAGGTTGCTGAGTAGTAGCTGTGGTATGCAGATTTCAACCTCATGTAAGTTTTAGTTAAACTATTCCCTCAAATCTCTACTTTGTTATCCTCATACTTGATTATGGTTGGCTTTCAAAATAGCAACTGAACTTCAAGACTATGAAATTAATAAATCAGTAAAAAAGACAAAAGCAGAGCTACATTTACAAGATTATTCCTGAGGAAAGGGAATTTTCTGTTCTTTCCATCCAGATTTGGGAAGAACATCTTTCTAATCAAGAATGGGTGGTGACAGAACAACCAACTCCTTGTAGAAATAACCACACCCAAGAAAACAATTGAAGGAAGGAAGGGGCAGGTAGTCACCTGAAGATAGGTAGTCACAACAAACACACATACACAAGTTTTCCTCTATGTATGATTCTCTCGATTTACTATTGATTTTCCCAATTTTACTTTTTTAAATTTACTTCATTTGAACAGGTTTATTAATCCATAACTACCCTTTTGCTCCATCGGTGCTAAATAGTTATATCATTTGTACTAAATATTGAAAACCTGATTGTAGATCAATGTACAACAGAAAGCTAACAAAAAGGAATTATTTTTGCAATACTATATTCATGCAAGTTAGAGCTATTATTAACACTTCCTCAGCATTCTATTTACCCCATTTTACCACCATCAGCAATGCTTTCTTGAAACATAATTTGCCACTATGTAGGCAGGCCTTATGTAGTCTTTTGTTTCTAGATTATTCTATGGCCTTAAATCAAAGTAAAAATAAAAAAGGCCTCTAGATTTCTTAATACTAGATTTCTCTTTTGGCAACTTGCTAACTTGGATTTCATTATTTTCAGAGAAAATCCTACATATTCTAATGCCTGACATTTAGTCTGAGTTTGTGAAAGTCTATGTCACTCTCAACTGTTAATTATTATTTTATTAGTTTCTTGCTGAAATAATCCAGACTCCAAATTATATATCTACATTCAGAGAAACAGCATTCCAGCATATTTGTGTTTCAGCAATATTAGAAGGTCAAAAGAATATAAATACAGCAGCAATTTTAAAACAGCAATTTTGCAATAAACATATTAAACATAAGTAGCATTTTAGTTCTTTGCATGATGTAAGATAATTTGAATCTTGGAATTATTGCCTAGAATAGTCAAAAATGATTTTAAAAAAACAAACTAATTCATGACCTCTTAGTTGAGATCTTCGTCTGTGTCTTCGTTTCCATTGCAAAGGAAATAATAAAAAGGCATGTTTATGATTCAGCAATCATGCCATTAGATTTTGGCATCCAAGCAAGTAATTAGGTGCTTCATTGGTTTTATTTAATTAAATATTATTTTTCTATATATCTGTATGGATGGATGGGCGTCTCTCTGTCTGTCTATCTATCTGTCATCTATCTATTTATCATATCTATCTATATCACAACTGTTTTTAATATATTCAATCTATAGCTGCATAATTCAGTTTACTTCACCTTCAGAATGACAGGTGTGAAACCAGTTTTACTCACTAAAAATTATCTTTTGACCAATATTTCTCTGGATCATGTTTCAGGTAGAATGAACAGAAGCATCATTAGTTTAAAAAGAAAAAAAACCCTTAGTTTATGCGATACTTTACTGTATTTGAATTATTCACTTGTGTGTATAGTATGTCTTTGAATCATTGTTGAATCATTGTCTTGCTGTTGCCTTCTTCTTACAGCTGAGAAAGCCACCAAGCTAGCTTTGTATCTAAGGCAGGACTAGAATTCATGGTCTGCCAGTTTCTAGTTTGATGTCTTAACCACTAAATCACCAAATTAATTTTCCTTATTAGTACTATTTTTGTTGAATGTTTGTTAAATTGCATATTGTGTATATAATAGATGGATAGATATATTCCTAATTTAATCTTATCAAGTATCATAAATGTCTCCCATTTCTTGTCCAATTTTAGCAAAACCTTGTAAAATAAGAGAAAGAGGGAGGGAGAGAAGAAAGGAGGGAAAGAAAATTTTGTTTTTTTTCTAGACTGTCTGCAACTAACGTATCTTGTTAGTTATCTATTGAACTAAGTTAAATAGAGAGAATCATTCATCATTATTGGAATACTAAAGAATTTCCCCAGTTTGAAGTAAATATTACACAATATGCCCTCGCAATCTTTTTGCTGTTCCTACAACATTGCTTTCATTCCTAACCCATAGCTCACTGAATAGAAGCCATCCAATCACTGCCAGCTCAATGACCATAATAATGTCCCATTGTTAAAGCAGTATTTTTATTATTTTAAGTACACAACGAACTCCAACTGTTTAATTTTCAGAATAATCCAATATGCTTCCTCCTTTTATCAGTAGCATTTCAGATTCCTGTCAGGAATCAGTCTCTGGATACTCCAAATTGAGAAATGAAAAAGATCTGATTTTTCTACACTGAGTTTTACACCATACACATCGGGTCTTTCAGCCAATTCCCAGTTTAGAGACCTTGTGAATAAAGGGCTATGCTGCCCACTTATCCACCATCTTTTGATGGCTGTTCTCTAGAGTGAAAGAGGTGACAAGTAAAGATGGGACAGGGGTTTAAAACAAAACATACATCTAATCATCTGTTAAAACTAACATGAATCATAACAGTGGTATAATGGATTGATGTTTTTTCCACCAGGTGGTGGGGTGAGAGAAGAACCTTTCCTGCATGGGGACTTGTCTAGTAACAAGCAAGGATGGGAGCAGCTGACCTGGATAATGGCAATAGCAAACCTTATACCTATTTAGTTTCTCTCACTTTCACAGATGAAAACAGAACTGTTGGGAAGAAGCTTTATTGCTTCATTACTTATTGCTTTATTGCTACATTACTGAATAAGAGAATTCAGAAAATAACATGACAGTGTTTTCAAGATATACATACTGTTTAAAGGTGATTTTCTGATTGCTTAATAGTTCAGAATTTTTCCTAGTTTTAATTAATTTAAGGAAACAACCATATTTTTGATTTTTAAAAAAATCTAAAATTAAAACAGCAATGCGATATAAATAATACATTTAAAGAAATTAATATAGCCAGATGGGTGTTGCCTACTCTTTGTTAATTTAAAAGTAGTTTTCTCTTAAGATTTCTTTCTCAAGATTTCTACAAAGCTGCTCTTCATTATACATAACTCATGTTGATATGTCTACCTAAAGACAGTCATTGTGACATAGTGATTCAGATGTTAACCTGGAATTGATTCAGATTCGTGTCTAGCTCACTGGTGACTTTAAACCATCCACTCAATCCAAATTGCTCATAAATTTGGGACAAAAATTAGAGGAGAGGATCTTTCATATTCTGCCTTGAATCGCTGGAGATCACCAAAGATCAGAGAAAATATACTCACGATCATCTATCAGTACAGATACTAACTATTCTGGGTGTATGTCAATAAACTAAAAATGCATACCCTTTTGACTTCTGATGCTATCTCTGAAGTAGATCTGTGTTGTCATGAACTGACAAAATGAAGCTTGCAAAAGACTGGAAGACCACACATTTCTTGCAGAAAAGGTCATGACTTAACATACTCATATCTTTATCTGCTATACTCCCTTTTGCCTAAGACTTAATTGAAATGGCTCAAACACTTGGTTTCTATAAGGGAGTGAATACTAGGATCACCTCACATGAAAGGGGCTTAGATCAAAGAATCCAAAAAAGCATTTGAAATAAAGCATCATTTAGTGATTATGAATATTAAGTTCCTATTAAGAAAGTCTTTATTCTTTTTAATTTTAATTTAAAGTCATAAAATGAAGAAAAGATAGAAAAATAAAAAGTGCAAAGAAAGTAAAGGAAAAAGAAGAAAAAGAAGTAGAATAAAGAAAAAGAAATGTGTAAAGAAATTACTTCCAGTGTTCATCATAAGTAAAAATAAATTTGATAATTCATACCCCCTTACATACAAACATTTATTCTTCCCATAACTTATGCAAAACCAGAAATCATCAAATCATCACTTCTGGAGTGAGCAAAAAGTCCATATACCTTTTGAGCCTGAAAAAACCTTGAAATATTTTTAAAGCCTTAGGAAACACCTGTGTAATCAGACTCAAATATAGGTAAGGAAGCTACAAAATTATTATTTTTGTTTCACAAAACAAAAATAAATCTGTAAATCTGTATATCTGCAATAACAGTGTTCTAAAACTAAAAATAAAGTACCATCTTACCTATGCCCCTTACCTTTGTGGATAGCTTCTGCTGCAAATGGTGCTCAGGCCAGCCTAGGCTCAAATGTCTTGTGCCTGACCTGTGACAGAGCCCCCACCAGATGGCCAGAAACTTAGGCACACTTCAATCAGAAAAACTGTGACATTTATTTTATGTTTTTTAATTTGATTTGTCAGTCGCTTACAAGATAATAGGTATAAGTATATACATAGTTATGAATACATGAAATGGGTACCTATAAGAAAAATAAAAGAAACAATAGGACAGGGACGGTAGGCATGTTGGTGCGCTTATGCACCATGGAAGCCCCTTCCTGATTCTGCTTCTAGCTTGGGAATGAATGAAGAGTGAACTCTCCTCTCACATATGTGCATGACAAGTTGTTCACCATGATAGTGATAACGTGGCTGCACTCAGCAAGTGAACAACTTCAAGCAACTTGCAGTAGTTGTGCTTATCACTTAGTACCTATCCTTCCATTTCCCTTTCCCTCTGTCACAATTGATAATGCTTCTTGGATGAAAAGTGAAATGTTTTCTTCTTCCTCAAGGAAAAAACAGTCCAGTTGCCTTTTGAAAAAGCACTTTAGAACAACTATGACGACTAAGAATCTTCACAGACACCTTATCTCAGTAATATTAATGAAGGCAATATTAATTGATTAATGGGGACATGCATAAGTGTACCAACGTGCCTATCGTCCCTGTGCTATTGTTTCTTTTATTTTTTTAATTTTTCTTATATGTATCCATGCATTCATAACGATGTTTTTACTTAACCTATTATCTTGTAAGCAATTGACAAAAATAAAAAAATAAAAATGAACTTGTGGATAGTCCCTTAATATGACCTTTGTAAAGTTTTATGGCTGTTTACCCAACCATAGGAGCTGAGAGAAAATATCCCCTAAAAAAACAATCAAGCATGCCAAACAAAATTGTTTTAGAAAATATTCATGCATTCTTGTCTAAAATCAGTGCTGCATTTTTTAACTCAGAGTATGAATAATTCTAAAGTAAGTGTTTCTCATTAAAGTATATAGAGGTACCTAGATGTTCTTTTGCTAGAAATGTTTCAAGTTTCTAATCTTTTCTAGATTCTCTTAGGATTCTATCTTCTGCATGTGTCTACTTCATCCTTCTTTAATCTGATATTTCCTATTTCTTCTAATCTATTTCCATTAATCTTATATTGCCTATTACCTATTTCTAGATCTTAGGATACTAGATTAGGAACTGGGATCTGTATCCCTATACCATTTTTTACCATAATTGATATAACATGGTGGCTTGTTTTCCTTTCTACCATATGAAGCATTAAACACACTAAAGATTAACTGTAAGCATTAATATAGATATTAACACACAATTTTAAAAAATATACCTCCAACTACACCCCAAAGTCTTGTTCTTTTCCTTGTCCATCCTACACTGAGACCTTCCAATATCTCCCAATATTAAGTGCAGTACTTAGCCACCAAAAGATTGCTCAGGCCAGTTGAAAGTATAGGGCTAAAACCTGGAGGCCAAGAACATGCCAGAGCCTGGTTGTCATTCTCCAAAATTCTCTTTGCTTAATGTAACAAAAGACAGAGAAACAGAGTTATATAATATGGTTATTATTAATCATATCAGTATGGTATAGTGGTTTTATCATATCAAGAAGGATGGTTTGAGTTCAACTGCAGTCATAGAAACTTATTGAGTATCTTTGATATGCCAAACTGCTGGCAGCCGGCAGTTAGGAGAAGTAGCCTGCATTCTAACCAGTGTATCACCACAGCTCATAAAATTAAGGTTATTGTCAAGTTGACTAAAATACTAAATATTTATTCTGTTTTCCTTAGAAGAACACATTAGGAGTTTTGGTGGGTATTTTTTATTTATCAAGCATTTATTTGTCAAGCATTAGATGCCAACTAAGAAGACATATAGAATTGCTTCTTATGGGTAGGCTATCTAAGTGTTGCCTCTTGCCAGACAACTTATAACAGTACAAAGTATCTCTGTAATGTAAAATCTGACCATTGCACCATCCCTGTGTAACTTGTTCACCTGGTTGCTCTGCACTCAAGGTCATCCCTGTGACAAAAAATTCCACTGCACTTGCAGGTGATGTTTGATATGCTTCAGCTAACAGTCCAACCATGGGTGTTTCAATCCCTGGCTAGCAACTGCATACAATCAAATTTAGTTCGAATGCCATTTTGCAAACTCAGCTACAAAAGAATAATTTGCATTTGTTTCACAGAAATTGCAGGTTGGAGTGATCTGTCATAAAAGCACCACTGTTACCACAGGTTTTCTTATCAAACATATTTAAACATTTTTATATCTGCATAATAGGTGTTTCTGTTCATTATTCAAATATTTAATGGCCTTTAATTCATGAGCATGGGCCTTATTTATAAATTTATATATACAATTATATAATTTAGTTATAAAGCTGGTATACTGCAATATAACAAATCATCATTTGCCTTCTTAGGGTAGAAGATAATTATCTAGTAAGGTGAAATGGTTAAGGAAATTTTCCAAAAGACTTCATTCAGCCAAAATCTAAGATGACAAAGCCTTAATCACAGCCCATGGAAAATGCAGCCTAATTCCAGTGATATTAGAACATTGTAAATTGAATAATACTTGTAGTAGGATGTTCAAGAATTTTGTCAAATTATTCAAAGCCAGAAGACTCCTTATAAATAATTTTTGTGGTGGTACCTTTAAAGTCAGTATTTGACTCCTGGTGTCTATCTGAACAAGTTCCTACTTTTTTTTTTCTTATCAAGGTTTTTTTGGAAGTGATCTGCGGGAAAAGGTAGTTGAACTGTATAAAACAGGAAAGGGATATAAAAAGAATCCAAGGAATTGAGAATGCCAATCAGCAATGTTCAAACTCTAATCAAGAAGTGGAAAATGAGGGGTTCTGTTGAAACCAAACTACAGTCAGGTAGACCAACTAAAATTGCAGCTACAACTGCCAGGAAAGTTGTTCGGGATGCAAAGAAAAACCCACAAATATCTTTAGGTGAAATACAGGACTCTCTGAAAACACGTGGTGTGGCTTTTTCAAGATACACAATAAGGAGGCACTGGAAGAAAGATAGGCTACATGGTTGAGTCACCAGAAGAAAGCCATTACTATGCAAATGCCATAAAGTATTCCATTTATAATACACCAAGTAGCACAGAGACAAGCCTCAAACCTTCTGGCACAAAGTCATTTGGAGTGATAAAACCAAATTTGAGTTTTTGGCCACAACCATAAATGCTACATTTGGAGAGAAGTCAACAAGGCCTATGATGAACAGCACGCCATTCCTACTGTTGAACACGGAGGTTGATCACTGATGTTTTGGGGATGTGTGAGCTACAAAGGCACAGGAAATTTGGTCAGAATTGATGGCAAGATGAATGCAGTATGTTCTCAAAAGATACTGGAGGAAAATTTGGATTCATCAGTCTGGAAGCTGCGCATGGGATGTTACATGACCATGATCCTAAACACAAGGCCAAGTCGACCTGTCATTGGCTACAGCAGAATACAGTGAAGGTTCTGGAGTGGCCACCTCAGTCTCTTGACCTCAATATCATTGAGCCACTCTGGAGAGATCTCAAATGTGCAGTTCATGCAAGACAGCCCAAGAATTTACAGGAACTGGAGGCTTTTTTGCCAGAAAGAATGGGCAGCTTTATCACCTGAGAAGATAAAGAGCCTCATCCACACATACCACAAAAGACTTCATTGAAGCTGTCATTGATGTTAAAGGGGGCAATATACCAGTGGTGGGATTCAAATTTTTTTACTACCGGTACTGTGGGTGTTGCTTGGTGGGCATGGCAGGAGAATGATACTGTAAAATCTCCAGTCACAGGTGGTATTTGCTGGTTCTCCAAACTGCTCAAAATTTCCGCTACCAGTTCTCCAGAACTGGTCAGAACCTGGTGAATACCACCTCTGCAATACACCATATTAAGAACTGGAGTATATAAACTTTTGATCAGGGTCATTTGGGTAGTTTCTGTTGTCATTATGATTTTAAAAGAGAAAACACAGTTGACTGATAACAAGGCAACCACTAACCATGAGTGAAAGAAATGTTTTTGAGTTATCATTCATATTCTCTGAAAAATGGCCAAGAATCATAAATTCTGCCAGGGTATGTAAACTTATGAGCACAATTGTATTTTGTTACACAGCTGGTTCTGACAGTTGTGTTTTTCTTAAAGGAAACTTTCACTCAGTGATGGACAGAAGTAAATTAGTATTTATTCAGAGAGGTGTTTGTTCCAGGATTTTAAATCAAGGGTTTAAAAACAGATATCATTATATAATACTACTTCTTTGATTCTTCTTTAGTTTCAACTTTTTTGATTCCTCAAAATTAAGTTTTAAATTTGTATCATTGCCATCACATAATGTTTGTATCAATCAATATTTACTAAAGCAAAGTCAAATTTGGATAATACCTTTTCAGAAGGGATTTTTTTCCAGTCTAAATTGAACTACAGATTAGCTGTTCACATAAAACAGTTTTAACTGCATTTATTAGATGTGCTGACTTTAACCCCCAACATTCTCAGCAATCATTACTTAGCTCATGACTTGGTGAGTATTGAATTTCAGTTATCTGAAGTGACCAAATTGGGAAAGGCTAATATAAAGCTCTTTAATTTTTTGCAGGAAAAATGTTTATTAATATCCCAGACCCAGACCTAAAATTCTTAGGTCTTGTGTGTGTCACTAAGTCTGCTTTAAAAAAAGAAAAACAATAAAAGGGCATGAAATCTACCAAATTTTAATTTTTTTGAGGCAAAGCACATGAACAAATATCTTTTCAGTATAATTTAATGCAATGTTGCCTACTGCATTTCTCCATATAATATCATTTCTTTTCTAGTTATAACTCTTGTTGTTATGAACTTTTGACCACTCATTCATTAGGGAAAAATACACTTAAGAAATCATAGATTACTTTATTACAAACAGCTATTTGGTCTTTGAAACATACTCTAATTAAGATACAGTGGGTGCTATAAAATATTGGCTTATATCAATTTCTGAGCATGAATCGCAGTGCCTGGCGCTGCTGAGTAAATGACTATAACTCATATAAGCAATGAATCTATATTATTAGAGTTACAGGTTTAGAGGTTCAGAGTGTCATTTAGCGGAATAAACATAACAAAGTTGCCGTATCGTATCAACAATCATACTACTTTGGATTCTGAAGTCCCAATATATAGAGAGCATCTCATAGTGAGAAAGGCTCAAGAAGGAAATAAAATGCCAGCAAATTGCCTGTTGTACCTTTGTTGCAAAATTATGTCAGTAAAGTTTTGTATAAATTAAATTAAAATAATTCAAAGTTTAATGGAGGTCACAAATATTTAACATTTGTTTCAGACTTTTAACAAGAGTGCAGATAAGGTTTCATGTGTTCAATAATTATAATCAAACACAGTGGGTATTTTCTGCTGATGTAGCTTTGCACTTCCTTGCTGTGATCTTATTTCTAAATAAGCTATCAGTTTGTATTAATCTTCAGAAAATGCATATATCAGTATTGCTTAATAATAAGATTTTTTTTATTTTATTTGTTTGTCAAACATCTACAAGATAACAAGAATATGTAAGAACATGAACATGAACAAAGAAAATAAATATAGATAAATGGGGATAGTAAGACAGGGACGGTAGACACACAAGATGAGGGAGGGAGAAGGTTTATTTAAAAATGTTATTAGTTCTCCTACTGGTGAATCCAAATATCTTAGAGTAATCATAACCACTTTCTTTATTACATCTTGGAATTATTTGCTACTAAGAAAGTGTGTATGTGCATATGTATATATGTATGTATGCCTTCTCCCAATCTAGCATTTCAAAAGCACACAAATGCAAGTAGATAAATAGGTACTACTTCAATGGTAAAGTAACAACATGGTGGCCACATGTCCACAGAAGTACCTTTGGATAACCCTGGCTCCCTTGGCTAGGAAACAAAGATGAGCAACATCCCTAGAGTTGGACAGGACTGGACAGGAGGAAATCTTTGTCTTTATATGTATATTTGGTTCAGTTATGTCAAAGTCTTGTTTGAACAGTTCCCTGCACTTTTCTGGGCAAGGTTTGTCAGAGGTAGTTTGCCATTGCCTCTTTCCTAGGACTGAAAAATAGTGACCTGCCCAATATCACCCAGCTGGCTTTATTCCAAAAGCAGAAAGGGAACTTGTGGTCTTCTGGTTTCTAGTTTGATGCCAAAACCACCACACCAAACTGGTTCTCATGTCAGTATATAGTACACTGGTAATCAAGATAGATTATATAGTTGTAGCTTAGTTCATAAAGAAATAACTTGGCACATATTGCAAATTGCCTGAAGTCTCCCTCAAAATGAACTCGGCATATACTTAGTTTAATTCAGCTAGTGTAAGTTTTCCTTCTCCTTTCTTGTTATTTCTCCTGATAAGGAATGCCCATATCACCAGAGGTGAGAACAAAGATGATTATATCTCACATTATACTACGATAGTAATATAAGTGGTCCACATTTAAAACAGCTTCAGAAGTCAACTATGAACTTGATATTAGACTTCCAAGAACCATTCTTGTCAGAACTACTAAGTGGATCAAAGATAATAAATGGTCAGTATGAGGGACTGCCTAGAATAATGCAAGATAGAAAACATTAAATAGTGTTGACAATTATATCAGTTATCCATCTAAAATTGAAGTGATGCTTATGGAAATCTCATGAAATGCAAATCCTTCTCTTCATTTATTAGAGACAATGTGGAGTAGTCAGTAAAGTTTTGATTAAGCAAAAGCAAAAGCACTTAGAGTTATATACTGTCTACAGTGCTTTACAGCCATCTCTAAATGGTTTACAGAGTTTACAGCGTATTTCCTCCAACAATTTTGGCTTCTCATTTTACCCACCTCAGAAGGATGGAAGGCTGAATCAAACTTGAGGCTGGTGAAATTTGAACTGCCAAATTGCAGGCAGCTGGCAGGAAGCAAAAATAGCCTGCAATGATGCACTCTAACCACTGTACCACCATGGCTCATGAAAATATAAAATAGTAGGAAAATTTGTTAATGCAAAACAGCAAGAAAACTGTCTATTTTAGAATCCAATCCAAAATATATATTGTTTCAGCTGAGCAGCTTCATAGGTAGTTGCTTCCCATTCTCTCCCAACTTGTCTTTTGTTCTTTTTTGTCAGGCACGAAAGTTCCAATTAAACTGATTTATTACTAATCATTTATATGCACAGGAATCTACTCAACTAAAGTTAGCACTATCTTGGCACCAGCAAAACTAGCAAAAATGTTTAAAGACAAATCAACTAGATGCTGGAAGTTCCAACAAATACCAAGAACATATTACCATATGTGCAGGGGTGGGTTTCTACCGGTTCAGTCCACCTCTGTAGAACCGGTAGCTCTGAAGAGCAGCAGACATAGAACCGGTTCTATGTCTGCTGATGTTTTTGCCCACCCACCCACCTGGGCTCTTACCTGATCTTTATTTCCTGATTTTTCAACTTCAGCTGCTGAACGAGGCACAGCTGCAGTTAAAAAAACAAGAAAATATGGCTGTTTCAAAGGCTGCCTCTCGGCACACAGCGTGCTAATGATGATTAACAGGTGCGCAGCTCAGAGCCGGCAGGGAAGCTCGTAAATCCCGAACCGGTAGTTAACTCTGTCGTATCCCAACCCTGCATATGTGCCATTCCTAATAAAAATATTTCAGGTTTCATATGTAGTCAAAAGCTATTGAACAAAAATGCACACATGGTTGGAAAAAATGATTAAACAACTTATAGATTTGAAACCTAAAATATTTTTATTAGAAATGGCACCTGAAGGTAATAGTAAAGAAAAAACATATTTAATCACACATGTATTAACAGCAGCTAGAATTGTATTTCCTCAGAATTGGAAAAGTGACAAGATGCTGATAGAGGGGAAAGTAATTGAAAAAATATTTGAATGTGAAGAAATGAATAGATTGACACGGGAAATTAAAGAAAAAGAAGAA